AACAAGAACTGAAAACTCACTCTGGTAATCCATAATTGTCCACCACCACCTGTCGTTTGTCAAGCGCCCTCCAATACAACCACGGTTGACGAAATGCTTTGAAGCATCAGTCGTCTCGAACGGAGCGCGTTATACGAGAGAAGCTCTTAATGATTTTGAAACGACAGATGTCGATTGCTTCTATCACGTGAAAAGCTTCTCCATTGATAGGCGACAGTGTCGAGCATATCTGAATTGAACTCGTGGCGAATCGCTTCGTGTCCGTCTGAATCACCCATGGTAGAGCAGTATCGAATAATTTGATCTTAGAAGTTAGACGAAATCTAATTAGAGTAGGCCTTCCCAATGAAACCTTACTAACCCCATTGACAGAGCCCGAACTCCCTTGACCCCCGTGAAAGAGCTCGAACCCTACGGAACCTCTTGAGAGAGCCTGAGCCTCACTGACCGTAGTGAGGAAGCCCGAACACCACTTACCTTAGTGATAAAGTCCGAACCATGAATGGGGCTCATAAGGGGTTATTGATAAAGCGAATTTTCTGCGTTTCCTAGTGGTTCCTTTCCTCTCTTTGCGAGGAGCTTTGTCTGGCAAATTTCGGAGGAACCATCGAAGTCCTTTCCACCAGTGCTTGCCGCCTTCGTTGGCGTCATTCATGCTTGATGGGTTGCCAGTCAGATGGATCGCAAAGCACAAGTATGGAGTAGCAAAGAGAATTCTTTTTATTTCATCGCTTTTAGAGATGGGAACGGTGTTATCAATATAAACAATAATGTGCAAAGCTTCTGCATCGGGATGGACTCGAACTCACATCTCACCATATCCGAGTGCGCGCGCTCTCTAATTTATTGCACTACCGACGCCTGTTTTGCCACCATTCTTTTCAAACTGTGACGCATCAGTCCACCAGCAACCAACCGTCAACCGCTTGGCCCAGATAATCGATATCGACATTGAACCCAGCCACGCTGACAGATATTGTGTATTCGATGATCAAACAGAGGTCTCTTTAATAAACTTGAAAGAATTGAGTGGTGAGTAAAAAATTGGCCTTGAGACTGAGCTGAACCCATGTCTCACCCACACTAAGGGCGCGTGCTACCATTGCACAATCGAGGCGCCGCTCCATCACCACTTATTCTTCTATATCCCTCTATCATAGCTATCAAACATCAACCTATAACAGGTTTGATAGGGTAAGCCATATTGCAATGCATCTAATAGAACTGAGTGGCGAGGAAATATGAGAGACACTGAAAAACAGCGGTGGTGAACAAAGCGCATCGATGGTGTAGTGGTAGCGTGCGCCCCAGTATGGGTGACACGTGGGTTCAAGTCCCGGCTAAGGTCGAATTTTTGCTTACCACTCACTTTTCTCGGGTTTATTGGAAGCATCATCACCTGTATCACCTGTCGTCCCGCTGATCGTCGAGTGACTCGAGCGGGTACCAGCAACTCTTCCATTTTTCCCTATCGCGTGCAAGAGTATCCCAGTGGGTCCTCCTTGCTCTAGGAATTCGCTGAGCATCATATCTTTCTTCCATCGCTTTCGTGAAGAAATCGGACCAACGGGTCAGTGGTCTTCCTTTAGAGCGCTTGACGTCCCGAGGAATCCAGTCGGTAACGGCTCTCGTCCATCGGTTGTCGTTGAAGCGCATCACGTGTCCGGCCCACCTTATTTTCGATATCCTGGCGTGTAGAACGGCGTCTCTGATTTTCGATCGTTGACGTAGGTCGGAAGATCGGATCCTTTGTCTCATTTGCGAAATACGAGACACTCCTAGCATCGACCTTTCGACTGCGCGTTCGATAACGGCAAGTGATCTTTCATCCTGCTTACGTAGCGACCAGGTTTCTGCTGCATACGTTAGGGCAGGGATAATTGTCGAGTCGAAAAGGTGGGCACGGAGTCGGATGTTCTTTGTCCTCTTCACTACATCTTCGATGCTCTTAAACGTTCCCCAAGCCGCTCGTTTCCTCCTGCTCAACCCTGGGGCTAGGTCGTTCATCATGTTGATTTCACGACCTAGATAGATGTAACTGGAGCATTCGGAAATTGTCGTTCCGTTGAGCGTGAATGGGGCATTAGAAACCCATCCGTTCCTCATGAACATTGTTTTCGTTAGATTCAGTTGAAGACCGATCTTTCCACAGGCGTTATCGAAATCAGTCAACATTCGTTCCGCTTGGCTGATGTTTGGTGTTATGAGAACGATATCGTCAGCAAAGCGAAGATGGTTTAATTGTCGACCGTCAATTTTCACTCCCATTTCGTCCCATTCTAATGTTCGCATGACGTTTTGTAGGGTGGCAGTGAATAGTTTTGGCGATATTGTATCGCCTTGTCGAACCCCTCTTCTTACGTCAATTGTGATATTGTTGTAAAATGGAAATATTTTGGTCGTGAAATCTTTATAAAGCTCACGAAGGATCATTATGTACCGAGTAGGGACGCCCTGGTTATCCAGAGCCTCTATAACCGCTTCTGTTTCCACTGAATCAAAGGCTTTTTTCAGATCGATGAAAGTGAGACAGAGTGGTTGTTTGTACTCTCGCGAAACTCCAATGAGTCTTGTGATCGTGTGGATGTGGTCCATGGTACTAAATCCTTTTCTGAACCCTGCTTGTTCGCATGGCTGTCCTTCGTCCAGTGTTCTGTCAATCCTGTTCAGGATGACTCGAGTAAAGGGTTTATAGACAACGGACAGCAAGCAGATTGGGCGATAATTGCCTATGTCGTGAAGGTCTATCTTTTTGAACAGCAATACGGTCTTGCTGGTTTTCCATTGAATAGGGACCTTGCATTCTGACAGGTAGCGAGTGAAGAGCCGAGCCAGGGTGTTGATGAGAACTGGCGGCAGGTTCTTCAGGTGTTCTGGTCTAATCCTGTCTGGACCGGGTGTTGTTCTGTTTTTCACCGACGATATAGCATGTCGGATTTCGGAAGGAAGGACCGGTGGAACAACATATTCGTCCTCTTTCAATTTATATGACGGTAAGAGAACATGGCTAGCGAAGAGATCCGAGTAGTACTGGTGGATGATTTTCTCCATAGCCCTTCTCGATGCTGTAAGTGCCCCGTCAGGGTATCGGAGTGCAATCATCTTGGTCTTATAGTTGGCGAAGCCTCGCTGGGCTTTGCGAATGCTCTTCCCAGCTTCTGCAGCTTCTGCCATAACTGCTGCTCTTCTCTCTTTAAGGTCTTCTTTTATCGCTTCTCTGCATCGTTTCGCAAGTTCGGACGTAAGGTTTCGGTTGCCTGCGGCTCGTGCGATTCCACGTTGACGTATCAGCTCGAGTGTCTGCGGAGACAAGCGTCTCTTCGTGACCTTAGGACTTTCGGCTTTTTTAGCGCCAGCGTGAAGATATTCAACGAGTCGATCGTATTCTTCGTCGATGTTGTCGACAACGGTATCTTCCCAAGAGCCGACTAATGATTTGAGTACATCCCAGTTTATGGTAGTTCTGGGACTTCGTTGTTTGAATTTAGCGGCTTTCTCTCCTCTCCTCGAAAATCGGAACGTTGCGCGAAGGAGGCGATGGTCTGATCCCGTGTAGAACTTGGGAACAACAGCGACGTCGGTCAGGCAAAACCTTCGATTTACTATGATGTGATCTATTTCGTTATGGTACTCTCCATTGGGAGACTCCCACGTCCATCGCTGAGAGAGAGGCTTTTGGAATTGCGAGTTACCATGGATGGTTTGGGTCGTCATGATAAACTCGGATAGCCTCTCACCCTGTTCATTCCATTCTAGTCCGTGGGTCCCTATGTGACGTTCTTCAGACGTTCTTCTAGGTCCAATTTTTGCGTTAAAATCTCCGACAATGACCTTGAAGAATTTATGATCTTCTCTGAAGAATTTTTCGAGGTCCATATAGAACGCTTCGACTTCGTCTTCGTCATAGCTTGATGTTGGTGCGTAAGCAACGAAGATGGTCAAAGCCGGCATCGAACCACATCGTTTCAACCGTAATCGTCCGATGCGGGTTGTTAGTTGTTCGAACGAATCAATGTTCACGGTCAAATTCGATTTGACGAGGACGCCAACGCCACCGACACCTCTGCGATCGCATGTTCCAAGGAACAGTTCTTCTCCGGTGTCATAGACAGCGTGAAAAGGATGGCGCCTTCTCGTCTCAGCCAGGCCAATGACGTCGTACCTTATTCTTCTTGCTTGAATCAACAGATCTTCTACAGCGGATTGTTGAGCAAGGGTTCTCGCATTGTAGGTACAGATCGTCATTTTAGTCCGTTTCGATCTTGGCAGCCTAGTTCGGCCCTGAGATTTTAGAAGCCTCTCCGTACTCGTCCTACCTGGCGCTGCCGTACCAGGGGCTCTTTCGGGGTCAGGGGAATGAGGCCCATATTTGTTACTGTTTTTGGCATTTTTGATACCCAACGTGTAGCTTGCCAGGCTCTAAACGTGGGGGCTGGGTACTCACGAGTAGCTTGCCAGTCTCTCTCGGAGGAGCGGAAGGAGCTTATTTGTTGGAGGCGACTCCTAACCGCCTCCCATGTACTTCCCAGCCGCTTCATTGCAGGCTTTTGGCCGACTTGACTCGTAGAAATAGAGTTTTTGTCAAGTCGGCGCTGCAGAAGCAGGGAGCTCGTCCCCTGAATCCACCTGCGTCTCTGGGAAGCGCATACCCCTATCCACCACCTGCGGACGCGCCACGTGCCCTCGCGACTAACCGGGCGGGATCCCTCAAAGAGGGAGGTCCGTGGGAAAGAGGGAGGCTTCCTTGTATATCGGCAACAAGGAAGCATCATACCACTACGAAATATTCAGTAAAAACATAGGAATCATGAGAATCCTATTTATCTAATCGCTTCTAGTGATGGCACGATGTTATGGACATACCCAATGGCAATCCAATACTCAATATCTGTCAGCGTGACAGGGTTCAAGGTCGATAGCGACTACGTTGCCGAAACCGTTGACGGTTGGTTGCTGACAGATTAATACCTTTTAGCGTAGAAAGAGTGATGGTAAAACAAGCGTCGGAGGTGCAACGGGTTAGAGCACGCGCTCCCGGATTGAGTGAGACGTGAGTTCAAGCCCCGCCTGATGCAAAAGTTTTGCACATCATTCTATATCGTTGGTTAAATTCATACCATTTTTTCATCGTTATAAATGGTTAAATAAAAAATTGTATTTCGTACTTCACTTCTATTTGCTTTCCGTCTGCTTGACAAGCCACCAAGAATAGACGATTCCAGCGAAGGTAGCAAGAACAGGTTGAAAGGATGAATAACCCCGTATGACACTCATTTAGTGTTCGCGTTCTCTCACTGGAGTTAGTGGGGTTCGGCGTCTCTCACCGGATCTTTGGGGTTCAGGCCCTCTCACGTGAGCTCGGTGGGGTTCGGGTTCTGTCAATGAGATTAATGAGGTTTCATTGGGAGGATCTACTCCAGTTGCATCTTGTCTGACTTCTGCGACTTCTATTGTCATACTGAAGTGCACATGGACCAAAAACTTTTTGATCTTTCGCTTTTCTCTTCTTTTCTTCTCTTTTTTCTTTGTAGTCAGATAATTGAACGGCAACTTATTAGATTTTGCTGCGAGCAACCTCACGCCCGTTCAGTAAAAAGACCTAAACGTACTGCCGAGTGATTTTTCGAAAGTCGTGCTCTTGAGCTGTTCGATTGTGGAGCCTAATTCTCTAAAGACGTCGTGCATGCCGCAGAATGCACGTCTGTTTCTTCATATTTTTTGCTAGGCAGAGCTTTTTCATTGGAATTTTGGTAATCAGTCGATAATTTCAGAAACGGCTATTTCATTCGTTGTTTGGATCCTGAAAAAACCCTCTCAGTAGACTGTAGCAGCGAAACGACAGCAACACTACGCCTTTAGCGCGCACTTTTCACTTGACTGGCCGTGTGTGCTTGGCTTTTTACTGGACTTTTACTGCGTATTCGACAGCGTACATCTTGATAATTTTGGAAATAGACCAGATTTTCCCAGAGGTTATATCATATGTTCGCAACAGGAGGACAGGAGTATTTCATCCGGATGACCCGTGCTCTCCCCCACTGACTCCAGTGAGAGAGGGTGACCCCGAATGGAGGCTCGTAGAATTCATGTTGATCAAACGAGCTCTTTGCTGATCCTGTTGCCCTCCTTTCATATCCTTACGAAGAGCTGAGTTTTGCTGAATTTCCATATCGACTATCGAAGCCCTTCTCCGTGCTTATCGTCGAAGTTGGCTACTGGCGGTAGCTATTATACATTCGTCTTCTTCGTCATTGCTGATTCTGCCTGTTTGTCGTTTTGAGATCTCATAAGAAATCAAATTAAAGTTGATCGGATTGGCATATATCGGTAACAGTGGCGTGGGCAGATGGCCGAGTGAGTTAATGGTGCTGCATTATGCTGTGGTTCGATCCCCTCCACCGCCTCTCTTCGCCCTCCTCCGGCGACGCTCTCTTGTAATCACGTGAGAGCGTCGCATTAGCTCGACCGACGGGCGATGCATATGAAAATGTGAAAATAAGGCCGGTAGAGGGGAATTTCTGGTTATCACGCTTGATCGCACACAATGACAGAATAAATAGGCAAAGCTTTTAGACCGATAGATCTGTGAGGCATGGGCCACGCATTATTCTCTAGCTAGCAAGGTTTGAGCTGATTGCATCTATATTCGGCCTCAACAGTAGTCTACGGTGGTCTGTCGAAGCACTGAGACAGTACTGCTATCCTTGCCTTATTGATTTTGGGAGCGGGACCAAACCATCGACCACGTGTGTGTTTCTCAAATGACATCTATGCTCCACGCACAATGTCTTCGAATAATATTATTACCAGAGAGAGAAGGAGAGAGTAATGCTCTCTCCATCCATTCGTTCAGTGAACGCTCTTCCAGCGTATGGTTGGTCTTTACGTGAAGGCATCGCTATCGGAAGGGGCCCTCTCTAATCTATGAGTATGTGAGGAAAGTTGCATTGTTCCCAACTCGACTGGTTAATCTGAAACTTGATCGTCTTCCTCTTTGGTTTGTGGTGGTGGCTTAGGTTACCTCTGAGGGTTACTGTGGTCAACTTGACCCACGTAGGCTAAGTAGGCATCAAATTGCGCGCTTGAACTTTGTCGTAAGTGTAACCGGTACTTCCCTGTTATCGAAAAGGGGTACTTGAGGGAGCATTCTATGATGTATAAAATTTTACTATTGGACCTTTAGTAAACATTAAAGATCACAAATCTCGAAGAGTTTAAAAGTAAACGTGTTTGTTCGAAAGGTCTTCTCACAACGCTGCAGCACTAAAAGTAAGATTGCTTTTCACACTTGGTGCGTTTTCACGCAGATTTGTGCTATTTATTTGAAGGTCTTTTCTTTCCTCACAAAGATTTTTGAGCTGTCTCGTGTTGTAATTGCAGAATAAACTTTGTTCTATCGTTCTATTGGCTTAGGCTTGAACGCCGAGAAACGTCTAAGCATTGATTTTCTGACATAACTTCATAATAACCATCTTGAGAACGTCATTGTGAACGTTAGTACTTTAGGTACTCATCTTAAGTGGAAATTTATGCAGAGGCATTCTTTGATATCCTTCCAAGACAGAAATTCGTTCTAGTCGCTTTTTGCGGTGGTATGATGCTAACATTAGGTCACTTAATAAGTTTGACACTAGAACAATAAACACCGAATTTATGAACCAAAAGTAACTAAGATTGCATGATTCTGGTACGGTTTAAATGCGCATTGTTTCGCGAACATTTTGTGATGCAACTTTCCTATACTTACTCCAAGATATAGCTGTCGTGGGAACAATTTCGCGTGTTACTCATGTACAAATGGCGGGTATGGGAAAATGCTATTGTATCGGCTGGCAATAGCAATGGAGCTTTTTCTGAACGGCCCGGACGCTACTCATCCTCGAGACTGTTTTTACGAGCTTTGAACTTAGCAGACCACTTTCTAGCCATCCTTTCTTTTAGCGTATCATCAACCCAAGCTTCATTAATTTTGCGTGCCGCTTTACTACTATTTTACCCTACGCGCCATTCGTGAATGAGTAGAAAGAAATTTTGTTCCCAGTACAGCTCTATTTTGGGACAAGCACAGGCAACTTGTATATCAAATTGTTTGGAGGGAAATGCGCAATTGAACGATATTCTGGCCAATCAGTTTGGGTTTACTGCTGGAAGGCCAGAACTTTTTGGACGACCCAGTATTTTCATCATAGCTTTCATTTCAGTGTTTTCTTAAGACCACGCTCAATTTCTAATTCTTATTCCTAAGAACACACTCGAAATGAATGTTCTAACATATTTTAGTATATTAGCCAAGACCAATCGAGAGTGCAAAACTGCCGATCTAGCGATTTTTACTTGGCGGAGTGTAGTGTAAGTTGTTTGTCGTCGCCTCCTCTCATTGTGGGGGCTGGAGCACCTACAAAGGATTGGCCTAACGATGAGTGGTTCTGCCCGGCTGGCTAGACTGTCAAGGTCGAAACACGTGTATCGGGATGCCACAAGAGTCCATTAAAGGCCCACATGATATGATGGCTCAAATAACAATTTTGAGAATAACATCATACCACTATTAGAAGCGATTAGAATGACTTTCATTCCTAGCAGAACACAAGGAATCCTTCTTCCTAAATTTCTGCTGAAGTTAAATATCTAAAGAGCATACGTTTACAATGGCGTTTTCAAGATAATTGTCGAAGCCTTTCGGATAATCGATGTTCAGACGTTTCTCGACGTTCAAGCCTACCCCACCGAACGATAGAACGAGGTTTCTTCTGCATTTACAATACAAAAGTACTCAAAAATCTCTATGAGAGGAAAAAAAGATATTCAAGTAAATAACACAGATGTCCATGAAAACGCATCGAGTGTGGAGAGCTGATTTATTTCACTCCTGCTGCGCTGTAAGAGAATTTTTTTTAAAAAACAAGTCTACTTTTAAAATCTTGAAGATTTGTCAGTCTGAATTATTATTGGAAGTCTAATAGAGAGTTGCTGTACAGCAAAAAGCTCTCCTTCTGAAGATCCTTTCCAATAACATAGAGGTAGAGGGTTCACTAACAACAAAGTTTATTTGGCGCTGAATTCACTTCCTTCAAAGGTTAGGCGGGTCAAGATGATTACTGGCCAGGTGTAACCCCAGCCACCACCACAACCTAATAGGAAGACGAATAAGTCCCAGATTTACCAGCCGAATTGGGAACAATGCAACTTCCTTTACATACTTATCGCTTTTGAGAGGTTTGCTATCGATGACGAAGCCCTCGCGTTGAACCAATCAACCGCCGGAACAGTGCTCACGTGACAAATGAAGGGAGGTAGTACTACTCTCTCTGGTAATAATACCATTCGAAGATATTGTGTGAGGACCGTATATGTCATAGTGGTTGGAGATTTCTGCGGCACACCTGCCCACGTGATTAGTAGTTTGATTCCGCCCTATGCTCGCCAAGCCTTTCATCTCTCCGGGGTCATTGTTGAGGCTAAAGATGAGTTCATTCACATCATATTGTTCAAATACGTGATCAAATACTTTCTTATGAGGCTTTTATAATTAGATTATAGATAACAAATTGTTCGTTTTTCCTCTTTATTTTCTTCTTTTCTTTTTTTCTTCGTTACTTTCTCTTTCTTTTTTTGTTTCTTTCTTCTCTTCTTTTTTCCTTTTCTTTATTTCTTTTCTTCGTTTCTCTTCATTTATTTTTAGTCATATGATTTTGAGTCAATATCAGATTTTACTGCCAATAACCTTATGCTTGCTCAACAAGAAGTTTTTTTTGATGTTTTGGAAGTGGTGCTGTTGAGTTTTTGAAATATTGAGTCTAACTCTGTAAAGGCGTCATGCATTACATAAAATGCGAGTCTACTTCCTTACATTTATTGCTGGACGAAGCTTTTTCATTGGACTCTTGGTAGTCAGTCGAAGCCTTCAGGAACGACGATTTCATTCTGTATTGGTTCCCAAAAAGACCTTTCCAGTCCACTGTAGCAGTGAAAAGGAAATAACACTGCACCTTCAGCGAGCATTTTTCACTTGACTGGAGGTCTGTTTTTGCCTTTTTATTATACTTTAAGTGCTCATTCGATAGCAGACATCTTG